CAGGAATGCAAGGCAAAAAAAAATTAAAAGCTGGTTCAGGTACAGGTTCACAGCAAAGATGTTGGTCCAAGTCAGTCCAGCCAGACTGAGTTCGTGCTGCAGCTCTTCCCTGGGACAGGCTGGCAGAGAGCTCACTGCTGCACAATGACCTTCCCCTCCAAGTCACACACCATCTTCTCAAGGTATCAGCTCACAAGAGGATCAGCTGTAATCTAGTTTGCTTGTAGCTTCCCTCAGCCACCTCTGCATTGTGTCTGGGAATTAGCCCTCTAACCCCAACTCCCCTCAGGATGGCTCTGCTGCCAGGCTTCCTTACACCTCTAAAAAGTGAATTACCCACGATGACAGCAGGGCTTGTTCCAGCTGCCACCTGCACCAACCAGCAAAGGGCTCCAGAAATCAGCACTAGCTCCCCACTTTGACCATACCACAAGGAATGCTCCTCCATCCCCTAGTAAGGCAGCCCTCTCCACGGGCAAGAGGACAGAAACTGCTCCCAGGCAGCCCCCTACTACTCACCTTAACAACCCCCTTCCAGCTATACTCCACCCCTTCTGATTCAAAGCCTGAGCACTGACCCATCAATCTCTTACTTACCTTTGAGAGCCCTCCCACTTCTAAGTAAAAGCAGATGATGAAGATGTTCCAGGTGACCCAAACTGCAGTCCAGATGGCATACTAGAGGGGTATGGGGGAGAGAAAGAAGCAATAAACATTAGGAAGTCAGTGGAATCAGTTTATACATATGTGATGCAGCTAGGGGCAGTTAACTGCCCAGACTCAGCACTGCAATCCTTTTTCCTCTGTTTCCCATATGCAGATGGTCCCTTGCCTGATTGGAGACACAGGGGCAGAAGTTTGAAGGGAGTGGAAGAGCTTCTGCCAGGCCTTTGTCCAGCATCTAGTTCTCCCTCTCTGTTGTGCAGTATCTCAGCGTCACTTTGGAACCAGCAATTATCAGTATCTTCCAGTTTGGAATAAGTACAGTGAACTGCAGAACACTGAACAGTGTGATCCTAAGCACTGCACCTCCTGCTCACGTTGTTTACCACACATATGCCTGATCTCCCAAGGGCTTTACTGATTTCCTTATCACTTGCCATGTCCCACCAGAGCAAAGGCTGCAAAGGGCTTTGACTGGCTCTGAGCAGAAGGAGCATCACTTACCACCACGATGTAGCGAGGTCTGTACTGAATAGTGCCAAACAGGCCAAGGATGACGATGATGATGTGCAGGAAGTTGGCTAGGATAGGGGCCCACTGGTATCCCAGGAAATCAAACACTTGCCTCTCTAATGCAGCAAGCTGGAAGGGAGAAGGAAAAGGAGAACTGCAACTTCTGTTTCTTCTCAAGGTTTCGACTTGCTCCCTGAGCAAGTCACTGCAGCAGCTGAGGATGTTACTTCATTCCCAAAGCAATTTGCTGCCTATGAAGCAGGTCAGTAGGACAGAACCTGTGTCTACGTGCTCCCCTCCCACTTTGTATTCATCCCATCTCTTCTGGTGGCTGAGCTAGCACAGACCAGTGAGCTCCAGTGCCTGTGTGGGGGCATGTCCTGTGTTCCATGCACTGTGTCATGGAGAGGTGGCCCCAGCACAAGGCAGAGGTGAGCAGCAGGACAGTGATACCTTAATAGCTGCAGTGGGACTTTCAAGACCTCATTTGTCAGAGCCTTCAGCATCGCTCCATCATTCCTGGCACCTCTCACGTTTCTGTTCTCCAGAACAAATCTATCAAAGTGAGAGAGAGGAGGAAACTCTCTCCTCTACCTTTGCCCCACAGAAAATGCTGCCACCCAGCAAAGAAATTCTGCAAACACATCAGTTTTCCAGAAGGACAGGCTGTGTTCCTCTCCTGCACTAATAACATGGTTCAAGGCTACCTCTATCTCCTATAAATAAAATTCCTTTACTGTGGAAACGCTAGACCTGATTTTCAAATTGTATTTGCTTAAAGATGTGCATTCATCTGAAGCCATCTTCTGTCTACCAGCAACAACTGGTCACCTGGACATGAACTGCTGTGTTCCACAGCACAATAAACATCCCCCTGCATGCTGCCCTTCACAGCCCCACATCCCCTAAATATCATCTCTACAGGTGAAATAGTGAGTGGAGGGGGAAAAAACATTTCTGCAGGTTCTTCCCCAGTGCCCTTATGCAGAGAGATCTTCTCTTTGCTTGTCTTCTCTACCACAGTGCAACCAACCTCACAACATCACCCAGGGCCTTTGCTAGTGCCCAGGCACAGCAGATTTCCCTGCCAGGGTAAGATTTCAGTGTCTGTTTAATTATCACAGCAATGTGCTGGGACTGCATCACTGCATTTCATATTTATTTGCACTTAAATAAATAATTATCATTTACCACTGATAGTTAAGATAAATTCAACTGCTAATTAGACATTAACCATGGATGATCCTAGTCCACCATGTGTAACCAGCTATGTGACATCTTTTCCTGGCTTGGATTTTAAGCAGTAGCTGAGGAACAAGAGCTGGAGCATCTGCAATGGCATTCAAGGATGTGAGAAGTTGCAGGTCCCAAATAAGCTGCACGATGAAGGAAGCCACATCTATCAAATGACCATCATTCCTTCTTCTTCCTGCATCAGTGGGGAAATCACCTTCACACCTCTCTGGGGCTAGGAAGGTATTGCAATTCTCATCACTATCTTGGAAGCTCAACAAAGATCTGTATTTCAAAGAAATCTACAGCAGCCCTGGTGAAGGGAGATCAATCAGCTCCATGATAAGCAGGTTTCCCTCTCTGACATCTCTCTCTTCACTGGCAAAGAGGTGCAGGGAGAGTGGGGAGGGAGTGGAGTCAGGCTCCAAAACTCTCTCTTCTGCAAAGTAATTGGTCTTCTCTTTGAAGCAAGGCACCCTGCCCTGTTCTGCTCAAGGTGAACTGCCTGAAAGAAGCTGTGAGATGTTCTGTGGGGCCACGCGTGGGGCTGTGGGGCTGGAACAGGGCAAAGGCTGCTTGTTCCTGCCTGCAGCCCTCCCGAGCACGGCGAGTTTGCTGCATCTCATCAGAAACAGCAGTAATAGGTTAAACACTTAATCTTTTAGGAAGGGATTAACGCACATAGCTTAATGATATTTGGAAATTTTGAATCCTGACTGGCTGGCAGTGGGTCATTTGACTGCGATCGCTTCTTCCAATCAGGCATTTAATTGGCTTTGAGCATTACCTTGCCGCGGGACTATGTGCGGCGGGAGCCGGCGCGCCAATTACCCGAGGGGACACAAGGGGGGGTGTTGGCAGAGATAACGCCCTGCTTAGCTTCATCTCTTGCCTTCAGGCCCTGACAAAGGGGATAAAGATCGATCCTTCCCATCCATGCCTTCTGCCATGAGTTTTCCCACTCAGTCATCCGTGTCTGGAAATTTGTTTGCTGCTCACAAATGAACACTTGCCATTAGGGCTGTATAAAAAGGGGAAAGCTTGTTCTTGCACAGCTTCATGATGTTTCCTGGCTTGCTTGGACCAGGGAAGATATTGGTCTGTGAACTCAGAGGCACCCAACCATCCTGGAGATGGACCTGCCAGTCTCCACCAACTTCAGACCAGGGCACAGCTCCTAGAGAGGTCTCTGGTCCTTGCCCACACTGGATTTTTCCCTGATTCCAGAAATTAGCTTCATGTCATACCTCCCTCTTCCTCTCTGCCATCGCCCTTGTCTCCAGGGTTTTTCTGTCCTGATTTACGTTCCTTTGCCACTTTATCTGAATTTTTTTTATGGTTCTGTGTCCCTGGGAGCTGCAGGCGTGACTCAGCTGAGGCAGAGACTGGCTGGGCTGGCTGCTGGTCCAGCCAAGGCAGCAGGAGCTGAGTCTGGACACCTCTGTGTGATCTGAGAGATCAGGCAAGCTGTGTCCTCATTTGCAAAAAGAAAAGCAATTTTCTGTGTGTTGATGACAAGCTCAAATGCTACTGATGAAGCACTGAATTACTGACATGCAGGTAGTGAGTCTGTGCTGCAATTCTGCCACCAGAAACACAGGCTGAAGTTACCCTGGGCTTGACTCTGTTCCCCCAGGAGCATAGCATAATTAAGGTAATGTTTGCTAAAAACAAGATAAACAACCATTTCCCTCATAGCAGTACAGGTCTGTGTGCAAAGCTTGCCCATCAAATGCTGCTGAGATTTGCAGGTAAACAGAGCTGATGTTTGTGCTAAGCTGGCCCTGATTTGGTGTCGGGATGAGAAGAACATCAGAATAGAAACTTCAGTCCTGGTTCCTTTGGTCTGGCTCAAAAGTCGTGGGGTCCCATCAGGTACTAATATATCTGCACCCCCGTATTGAACCTCTCTTGGATCCCTCATGCTGAGCAGGAGAAATGCCATATTTCCCTGCTGCTGCCAAGTTTCTGCAGAGTAATAACCTTATTCTAAGTGTTCTTTACAATGATTCACGCTGCTCTATTGAGAAAGTCTATTATATCCTAGAGATATTGTTGTAAAGAGAAAACTCACTGATTGTGGCACAGATTTCAGCTCATTCAAAGCTGACAGGACCTTTCCATCAGGACAAATTTTTTGTCTTTATGACTATTTTTATTAAAATCAGAATTCCTTCTGCTCCTTTTTCTTCTTTAGCCCAAAAATCATTTTTACCTTCCATTCTTTAAATTAAATGATCTGTTGTGGTAGTCATGGCAGACTTTTCTCTCCTGAAATAAACCACATTTCTGCTGATCTGAGTGAAACTGGAATAGGAAATAACCATGTGAAGCAATTGTTCTCCAGGCAGACAAAACAAGCCAGAGCTCTCTGCCTGGCCATCGTTCATTTATACAGCAGCAAAGATAAGGAAGATGAGAAGATGCTCTGCAGTTACAGTCCTTTCACACAGTCAGCAAAGAAAGGCTTTGTGAGCCAGCACAACAAGACATGCTCAACTTCACCAGAGCGGGCAGCTGTACCTGAGCTGGAGGGGAGCATGGCCTGATGGACCTCACTGCAAAATGGGAAAGGGGTCTTAGAAAACATCACAAAATGTGGAACAGTTTCTTGTTGTAGGGTTCAAGCCATTCCACTTGCATTTCTGATGGCAGGACAGTGTCACTGGCAGGTGTCAATGCCACCAGGACACTCCAAACTGATTCAACATGGGCTGGGAGGTGCTTGTTTAAATTCTGGTCCCACAAATCTTTTTTATGCCCTCATCTTTGTCTTCTGTTGCTCCTGTCATGCTGATAAGCTCGAGAGTTCAGCTTGTTCCCCTTGTGCTCCCACACTGCTAAGGAGGAAGGGATGCTGATGATAAAGTCAGTTCCCTGTAGTTCTTCACCTCCCTTTCCTCAACAGACTACTATCAAGGCCAAGTTATCAGCTAGATTTGTTCTTCTTAGTTTATTAATCTTTTAAAGCCTTTAATCTTATTTGGTTTGGATCTGTGTCTTTCACTGCATTTCTGAAATCAATTGGGACACAAAATAAATATCACTTTCAAGATGTTGACATGACTCCTGCAGATGCAGGGAAGTTGCTCAGAAAGCCCAGAGACAGGTACAGAAAAGCAAAGAGGATGTCCTGCCTACACACACATCCCTCCAGATACTCCTGCAAGCAAACCTGCTTTTACATTTTCCAAGTTCAGATTTAATGAGAGACTTCTTATTATAACTAAATGTTAGAAATAAAATTACAAACATACAATAAAGGGAGCAAATGGGAAAGGCTTATCCTACTGCAATGGGCTAACCAGGGCTTCTGGGAGATACACCTACAAAAAAGAAGGAAAAATGTCATGCCTAGACAATGTTCCACTTGGCCTATAAAAACACAACTTGAAAACTGTTTTGCTGCTCCTTGTCCTTCACCACTGTGAGGACACAGCCTCGCAGACTGCTCCAGCTCCTGAACTGCCCTTCTGCAGTGTTGGGCACACCTTGGATCCCAGCGTGAAGATCATAGAATCATAGAATGGTGAAGGTTGGAAGGGACCTTAAAGATCATCAGGTTCCAAGCTCCCTGCCATGAGTAGGCACACCTCCCACCAGAACAAGATGCACAAGCCTCATCCAACTTGCCCTTGAACACCTCCAGGGAGCCACAAGCTCTCTGGGCAACTTATCCCAGCACCTTACTACCCTCATGGTGAAGAATTTCTTCCTGATGTCTAACCTGGATCTACAGCTTCAACACAGACAAAATTTGCTACCTCAACCCCTATATTTACTTCTTCTCCAGCCTGAACTGAGAAGGAGCCTGTGCTGCAGCCCTTGGCCAGCACCCTGCCCTGCCATGTTCTGGGCTGCCTGCCTGATTCGCAGCGCCTTGATTCAGTGTTTGA